TGCAGAAAGTTTTGCTTTCAGAAGACCCCCGGGGGCAGACGGGTTCTTCCCTCCGTGCCCAGAGCTTGTCTCGCCGCTCTATCAGGAGCAGGAGCTGCGTTCGCCTCGCTGTCACCCGTCCGCAGCTCTCGTGCACGATGGCATTGCTGCTTTCCACCTTAGGTTTTTTTGGGTTTTTTTATTTTTCCCCCCCCTACTTATGCAAAAGTCCAAACGAGCCTTGCCTGACAGATCACCCGGGAAAGGGCTTTCGGGGCTCCTCTTCTGGAGGAGCCTCCCCGGTGCCGGCCGCCTTGCCGCTGCCTCGCACCCCGGCCATTTTTCGCGGGGGGCCGTGGCTTTGCTAAATCCGGGTTTTTCCCGGCGGATCCGTGACGGCGCATCCGCTTGGATCTGCTCTCTCGCTTGAAATGCCAGACGGGAGGCAAAAAAAAAAAAAAACCCTAAAATCTTGTATTTAGCAGTTGGAAAAAAGCCCTTTTAGGCGTGCGCAGGCGTGGGAAGAGCGAGCCCACCAGCGAGCTGCCACGTTCCCTCATAATATAAGATGGCTCTTCGTGCTTTAGAGTAATAGCAGTGCATAAACTGATTTCTTCAGTCTATGGGACGCGTAAGCCCTACCTTGTATCACCTTTGCTCGGCCAGGTGCAGCACCGGGTGCGATATGTACTTAACTCCCCCGCTCCGGGGCGATGAGCTGGGAGCAGCGGCGTTCCCGCTTAGCACTACAGCAAACCAGCGCCGGAAGCTTAATTAAGATATTGCACTGACTTAAAACTATTGTCACCATTAGCTAGAAATAATTGCTAGCTTGGGGAAGTAAATAACGGGTTTCTCGTCTGCTCTCAGCGGCTTGCCCAAGCGATCCCCTGGCGCGGACTTGCAAACCCTCGCGGGAAACTCCTGGGTTTGGCACAAGCCTTCATGGTTGGGCTGTAACGTAAAAGCAGAAAAACTGAGGTGGCAGGAACCTGAAGACTCGTTTGCATGTTGGTGTTGATAGCGGCAGCGTTTTCCCCTCGGCAGCAGTTTTTGAGAGCCGGTATCAAGGGTCAGGGCTGGGTTCGGCGGCTTTGTGGCGCGCGCTTTTTCCCCATAGCTGCCAGCCCGGCGCGTCCCAGACCTGGGGTGCCACCAAAATTTGTATGACGTGACCCGTGCAGATTGCACGCGTAGCAAGAGATAAGCGTGTGTGTGTATATATAGATATCTGTCTCTGCAATTTATAGATGCAATATGTATATATATATGCTGGTATTCATATCTATAACGCTCCCTAGGGATGGAAAGGGCCTTGGATCTATTGTAGGGATGCTGCCGTCCTTGCCAACACTGGGTTGCTGCATCTACTAGATGAAATTGTCCCCTCTGTGCATTTGAATCCCATGAAAATGGCTCGGAAAGTGGCAGAATAGAGACCTCAAGAGGTAGCGGCCGTTGCTGTGCTTTGCCAAACGCCGCGCGGAAAGAATCGCCGGTTTTATAGCTCGCAGCGAGCAGTAGGTTTGGAGCAGTTTCTCCCCTCGCTCCATGGGGTTTATGATTACGAGCTGGGGAAGCGAGGGAAGAAGAGCAGCTTTTTAATTTTTTTATTTTTTAGCCCTGGTCTCGATTCGGTTGCAATAAAACGCTCCGCGATGTTGCAACGCAATAAAATCAGCCTGCGAGTTAGAGGGCTTTTTGCTTTGGGGAAACGCGGGGCCCTCGGTGCCTGCGATATTGAACGCATCCATATTCCTGACAGCTTTTTGTAGTTGTTGTTTTCATTAAGCGGGAACATCGGTCTGGAATTAGCGTTTGGCTCCGGGAGGAGAGACGACGTGCGGGCCCCGAGCCGCGTTGTTTCACGGGGGTTTGCTCGCCGTGCGCTGTCGGGGGGGAGGTTTAATCTTTCCAGCGATGATGCGCTAATAGGAGGGAACGATAGCGCTGGGCACGCGCTCGTAAATGCTGCGGGTGCGATTTGCTTACGGGTTTGCTATAAGCAACGTCATGCCGAGAGGATGCGGGCCAGCAGTGTTCACAAAACGACCGGAAAACCCCAGAAACGGTCCATCCCAGTCTCGTGCATTGAGTAAAGGGTTAATGCCAAAAAGACCATGTGCTAAAAATGCTCCGATTGTTCCCGTCACCCTCCTCAGCAAATTCCGCCTTGCTGTTGCTTTTAACCTTGCCCGTTCCCCAGCCGCCGTCTCGCTCCTCGCCGCGACCGTTGCATCGTTTTATGGAAAACATCGGGTGACGCCTCGAAAACCCCTTGCACGGGTGGAAATTTTGGGGGGCCTGAAGCGTATTTTTCCCCCCCGGCAGCCAGCAGACGGACCGCCTCGCTCCCGGCACAACCGAAGCGGGAGCAAAAGCCCTGGCTCGCCTCCTCCTCTTTGCCGCTTTTCCGCTCCTTTTCCCGCGCCTGGTCGCGTCGGGCTAAGCGGCGCCCAGCCATCGGGCATGGGCACCTTCCCGAGTTTAGCAACGAACCTGTCGCTTTGACAGCAGAGATTTCGGGAAGTTGCTCTTTTCCAAAGGTTACGGGCGGTTTTACGCAGGTCGTGGCGGGGAAAGCGGTTGGACCTCGGAAGCGCTGCAGACCTTTGCGCGGGGACTTGGAGCCGTGCCGCGACGCGCTCGCGCCTTTGGGCGTTTTCGGCCGGTGCGGGGCGAGAACGCTTTGCCTTTGGGGCTGTAATTGGAGGAATTTGGGAAATCAGTAATTGGGGAGCGCGGAGGGCTCCCGAATCCCCTCGAAATTGGGAGCGGCGCCCACCAGCGTTGGAGAAGGGGCTGAGAAAAGGATGCTGGGTTTGCAAGCGCGAAGAGCTCCGGGAGGGGGTTTGGGTAGCTAACGCCTCTGCTGCCGGTGTGTTTTTTAGGTCATCGGCCTCGTTATGGCCCGGCTGTATTGGCAGAAGCTCGACGATATCTACTCCGAGCTGGAGACAGTTGATTTTAAGGGGCTCGAGCTGCGGGATTTCAGCTTGGAGCTGCTGGACCTGACGGGCGCGGGCTGGTGCTGGTGCCTGCCCAAGGAAGGGGGCTACGTGCCCGTCGGTGCCGCGGGCGAGGAAGACGAGGAGGAGGAAGGCGCCGGGTGCCAAAGCCAGGTGTGAGCCACTGCAGGAGCAAAAGCCGTGGGAGGAAATTATGAAGCAGCGCTGGAGGGATGCTGTGAAAAAAGGGAAAAAAAAAAAGCGCTGTGCGAGCGCGGGAAGGCCGTGGGGTCCTTCGCTCCCTCGGCACCTTGAAGCATCTGTACATGTCTCCTTATCGTTGTTATTTTTTAATATGCAATAAACGTGACTTCTGTTGCTTTTTGCAAATTTGCACCGCGAGCGGAATTTGGGGCCCGTGTGGCACTAAAGCGCCGGCTTCCAGCTGCCAGGTAAGGAGGGGAGTTTAACAGGTTATCGTGGGTTATTTTCCAACACGGTAACGCGGAGAGTGCTGGCGGAGGGGATCTCACGCCGGTGGGATCAGATAGCCGTGCCCGCCCCGCTTTGGGAAACGGGCTCGCGGCGGGTGAATTGCACCGCTCTGCAAAACCGTGAGCCTGCTTTTATTTAAAAAGGCAGAATGAAACCTCAGGGCCTCTCTGAAGGTGCCGAATTCCTGCTCGTGCCCCGGGCGGCTGCAGGAGCTGCGTCCTTGAAAACGGCAATGTTTTTACAGTGATTCTCCGCAAAGGAAATGTTTTTCCTTGCCGGTTTTAACAGCCGCGCTGTTATTAGGAAGGTTTTGGGGCGGCGGGAGCTGGGTGCAGTGATTTGGGGAGTAGGGGGGCAGGTGAGCGCGAGGCACGCCGCGCAAGGCAGGGCTGCTGGGCTCTGCTCCCCTCTTCCCGACCGCTTTCAGGGTTTTTCTTTTAACAAATGACAAGCGGTCCTGAGCCCGGGCCTGCAAACACAGGGCTTGAGCCGGCTGCTTGCATAAATCGGGCACGAGAGTTCATTTTCCATGAGCGAAACCGGCGCCGCAGGCGGTTGCGGGTGGGTTTTCTGCAGGTCCGACGCTCCAGCCTGGGGGAACGGGCTGGTCGCAGTCATTTAAGATTTATTTTTTGCTTTCTCTGGGAGGCGTTTGGTAAAACCTTAATAAATGCAAGCTGATAAATTCGGCCTGCTCCTCATGAGCACGTCCACGCGATTCTCAGGGAAAGAAAGGCATTTTCTGCTGTTTTCTCTTTCCGTTATTACAGTGCACACAGCTGCTGCCACTAAACGGTTTTCTCTGCTGCGCAGAGCACGTTTCCTGGGAGGGTTTGGGCCATTTTTCAGCAGGTAGCGACGGCAGACGCGGGGGGCGGCGATGCACGGGCTCCCGGCTGCCCTGTTCCCAAGGCATTATCCTGCAAAGGCCTGGAAAACAGGAAAGGTAAAATAATCGTTGGCCCTGTAAGGAGATGCCAATGCTGGGGAAACGACGTGGATTTACTGCCATCCTGTGGGCACACAGCCCGGCCGGGCTGGGCATCCTCGCGTTGGAAACGTGGGCTGAGGACATAGTCGTCCGTGCCCTCCAAAACTGCTTTTTTCCCCCCATTGCAAATGTGTGCCATGACTCGGGGTGCTAAAACGCAAGGTGATGCCCGGAGGATCCCCCCCACCGCAGCAATTCAGTCCAAATTTCGGCGAACGAGCCAGCCCCGACGGCACTGCCAGAAATCACTGCACCTTACTCCGGACCTGCCCCGGCTGCCTGGGAAAAAAAGCTCAAAATAGGGGCTGGGAAGAAAACGATAGCGGTAGGTGGGTTTTCTTTTCTTCTGCTCAGAGGCCGAGTGGCGAGGAGGGAAAAAAAACCTATAAAATAACCTTTTTTTGGATTGCCTTAAAGCGCCAAGTCCGATTTCCCAGTCCGCATTTTTGCC